TTGACGCTGAGTTGCTCCGCACTGTGTATATTTATATGTAGCCAATTTGCTTACTTAGTACACGTATTTGTTGTTAAACTGACTGACTGTTCGCCGTCGAACGTGAATAACTGCTAAGGTAAACAATGGCGAGCGGTGAAGATCAAAAAATATTCAAAAGTTAAAAAAAAAAACAAAAAAAAAAAATAAATGAAATAAAAATAAAATAGCAACAATGACGCGAACAGTAAACGGTGATGGCAATGATAACTACAGTCGACGACTTACTTAATAGACGCTCTTTTGTGGTTTGAGAAAATTTCAAACACACAAACATATGGAAAAAAGTATAATTCTAAAAAATAAAAATGTGTTAAATATGTATGAAATGGCACTGTAGCGCAACGAATCTAATACATTGATGGGATTGCGCTGGCCGTACATAGAATACATGGCAGTGTAAATATGCTTGTATGTATGTCTCTAGCTAAAGTTGATGCGGTGAAATGGGCGATAAAGTTAGGGCAGACATGAGATGACTTTTAAAGTTGCAGCTGAATTTGTTGGGCGTTTGTCGCTTTGAAGTGAAAACAACTGTTAAAATATCTGTGACGAAATGTTTTTTTTTCCGATTTGACGCATACCTTTTCTAAACGAGCGAGGCAGCGCCAGACAGGCAGGCAGAGGAAGATAGGTAGCAGCTAACGCTGTTTGCCACAGAGGGGTGGTAGGCAATTTTATTTCATTTCATTACATTTTTTTTTTTGCTTTTTTGTTTTTGCACAAATCATTTTTGACAGCGGCAATGCGGTGACGGGTCCCCTGAAGTCACTTATTCATTCAAGTGCTATTTAGCATTACAATGCGTGGATATGAGTATGTGGATAATCTTGACAAGCGAAAACATACAAACGCACATATTTATATCTGCAAATGTATAAATGTGTTTATTTTGCTGTTTTGGAGGGTTCAAATTCACCGCATAACAGCAACCACAGCAAATCGTTCGTGTTTACACGCAGGATAATATACAAGTAGATAACAGTTATAAAAATATCAGGAAAAATAGAACAACAACAACGCCAGAGGCAACAGTTTACGAATTGTCACAAACAAAATGGTCTTTCAATTAGTATAACCCACATACATACATACATACACACGTCGACGGCGCCATCAATGCGCATGCCCTTGGCAGGCATAAAAACAAACGAATGACACACAGGTATATAAACCTATACATGCATACATACAGACGACGAATGCATGCCCATACAGTGCATAATCTCGCACAAATGGCGTTAGAGACAATGCAAAAGTCATGCTTCTATGCCCACAAAACATGTCAAAATTATTTATTACATCAAACCCTCCAACAAACCTTTGTGGCGACCCCTACTCAACAACCATAAAAAAAAATAAAATAAAAATTCATATATTCATACATATAAATATGTATGTAGAAGCATAAGCTAAAGGAAAAAAGAACAAAGGTAATAAAATTCCAACTCACAGCCTTGCTGGCGCTTTAGACGAGAGACAGGACAATGTAGGGGAAGTCATTGTGGCACTACGGAAGAAAGCAAAAGCAACACAGTAGTGGCCAGAGCGAAAGCTATAATATTGTTAGTGTAGTGAAGAGGATGAAGAGGAATGTATATGTGTACTAAAGGCATTAGTAATAATGACAGTGTGTTCAAAAAGTATTCACATTTTCAAGTTTTCATCAACAAGAGGAATTATAATATTTTGAATTGATTATTTATTTTATGACATTAGAGGTTGTCCATCAGATCAGCGATATAGTCGAGGATTCATGGCTAAGACTTAACATTAATTTTATATTCTGTAACAGAACTAGTATTTAGCTGGTATGGAGCTAATGCAAAGTAAAACATTAGCAGTACGGTGCTTAAAAACTCATCCACTAATTAATTACCATATTTCTATACAGGTCACGAGTATTCCTTAATTAAAAATAACCAATGAGCATAAAAAGTCTTTGAAATGAACACTTACGAATGTTATTTTGAGTCACTGTATTCAAACCCCGAATTTGTTTTCGTATTTTCCTGATCTAAAATACCTACAAATATACAAACATATATTCATATATTACATATGAACAACGCTTGGCCCATCAGTTCACAAACTCAAAGTGGATATTATCAAATACACGCGATCAAACAAGACAAAAAATGAAATAAAACAATAAAAATGAAGTACAAATAAAAGTATAAAATAACATTAGCCAACATGGTGGATGTCAACTAATACGATACATAAAATTGTACAAACCTCCTAGGTCACATGAAAATACATATGTATGTATGCAAGTCACTTATGTGTTGACTGTCAGTTACTTTTGGGCTTACCACAATGGCCACCGTCGCTGTCAGGTATTGTTATTTTTGCTTTATTGAAGTAATTGACTGTTTTTACTTAAGCGCAAATTTTCAGTTAAAAAAGCCGTGATTCTTCTTATTTGTTTTATTTCATTATATTCTATGTTATTTTACTTCATTTTATTTTATTTTATTTTATTTTATTTTTTTTTTTATTTTATTTTTTTTTATTTTATTTTATTTTATTTTATTTTTTTTATTTTATTTTATTTTATTTTATTTTATTTTTTATTTTTTATTTTTAAATTTTTTTTATTTTTATTTATTATTATTTAAATTATTGTATATTATTTAAATTGGTATTATTTCATTTTATATTTTATTTTGTTGCATTTCAATCTATTTTATTTTAATTAAATTTGTTTTATTTTTATTTTATTTTTTGATTTAATTTAATTATATTTTATTAAATTTTATTTTATTTTTCTAAGTTTTTTATTTAATTTAATTTATTTTAATTTCATTTCCTTTAATTTCATCTCGTTTTATTTTATTTTACTTTATAACGTTATTTTGTTATATTTTATTATTAGAGAATGAATTTAAATAAACAATTAAGTTAAATATTTTAATTGCGGTTGCACCTCTACAGAGAATGTCAAGCCTTCCGAGTGTAATTTTTACATGAAATAAAGGCTCCTTATAAAAATCCATCGGCCCTTCGGAGGTGGCTTAGTGTAAACTGTAGGTCCCTCCATTTGTTGGAAAAATATTAAGACGACAACCCACAAATTGAAGGAGGAGTTTGGCCGAAAATCACTTTGGCGGTTATAAAGCGCTAATTATATTATATGTTTTATATTATTTTATTTTTTATTATTTTGTTTTTTATTATTTTATTTATTATTATTTTATTAATTATTATTTTCTTATATTGTTTTGTTTTTCTTTTTTTTTGAATTTTATTTTATTTTGCTTTATTTATTTATTATTTTTTTGTTTGATTTTATTAGAATTTTTTCACTTTATTTACTTTTTTCATCTTATGTTATTTTATTCTATTTATATTTATTTTATTGTATTTTGTTAATTCATTTATGTTTTATTTTATTTTAATTTGTTTCGAACTAATTAAAAGTCAACTTTTTGACGCTTTTAGATATCGAAATAAATAAAAATATGTTTTTATTAATTTATCGCTAATTTTTTATAAGTTCATTTCGCTAATGGCCAAAAACCCATAAATAACCTTGGTTGCCCATTAAAAAATTAAAAAAAAAATCCCCGCTTCGCCATAAATTTATAGCGCATGCGAAATTTAAATATTTACAACTGAATTTGCTACTTAAAATTTGTGTCGATAGCACAGCAACAACTTTTAAGTAGAAAATATTTATTGAATTTTGAACTTTTCAAGCAGGCCATGCAATAACGAGCGGCTGGCTCCAAAACTCAAACATATTTCGGTTGTTTATACATACAGAAATCATTAAACATATATATGTAATTTACATAAAAAGTTTAATATTTTTTTTTAAATATGAATTTAATGAAAAATTTACAGCTAAGAGCCCATAGCACGTCTAATTTAGGAGCATGAGTGAAGACTTAAAGAATTTTTCTATGTATATTGTCGGAATAAATATAAATTGTAAAAAACCAACGAAAATCCTATGTGCACAGGAATAGATATTAATAATAATATAGAATGGCTATTTATAGTAAATTAATTCCTGATTCAATCAGATGTGTGTATGAAAGCTTGACATTAATGCTCTAAGTCAAACTTTTGCTTGCTAAATAATTACAACTTTTTTGCTAACAAAAAAAAAACACATTTTTAATTTTCTTCATTACAAGCTTAAGCTGATAATCATTGTACATATGTGCGCCTAATTAATATCTTAATTGCATACATACATACGCATGTATGGCAACTCCTCGAGCTTCTGCTACAACATCATTTAGCTGCTATAAAACTATTAGGAATTTCTTATATTAAAGCCACTACACTCATGTGCGGCATCGACGAATTCACATAGACCAAAATAACAAGAAAAGAAAAGGAAAAAAATGCACAAATGCTGCCGCCCGCTTAACGTCAATATTCTAATACTTATATACACGAGTATACTCGTTATAGACAGCGTTATTCCACAGTCATTCGCTAAGTTTATGACTTTTTCTTTCCCCACTGAATTTTATTAAAATTTTTTCCTTGTCATTTTTGCTTTTGATTGCATAAAATCCCAAATTTATGACAGTTCTTACATAGAAGATTAGCATAAAATTCGCATTTTTGCTAACTTTTCCCAGATTTTTATAAAACAAATTTATATCTTTATTTGAATATTTGAAATTCGATGTACAGATATGTATGTATGCACTAAAGAGAATTTATCGAAAAAATTGATCACTCTGTTTGAACTATTCTCCTTTCAAAGTCGTGGCCTTTACTTTTGAGCAAAAGAATAGTATTTCCTATTATGCATGCATACATATGTATGTATATATTGTACAATATATTTAAATTCAATAGTGTAACGGTTAAGAAGCTGTTCACTTAAAAGTTATTAAATTTTTTTTTATTTTTAATTAATTTATTATTTTTTCTTAAGTAAAACGCTTTTATAAATATTTTACTAATGCAAATATATTTGTTCTGCTCTCTTACAGACTGAGCTGCGTTCATGCGCAGCGTGTGGGGAGCCAATCTCGGATCGGTTTTTTCTCGAGGTTGCCGGTTGTTCATGGCATGCCACATGTTTGCGCTGTTGCATCTGTCAATGCCCGCTCGACCGTCAGCAATCGTGTTTCTTCCGCGAACGACAAGTCTATTGCAAAGCAGACTATGGCAAGTGAGTAGAAAACAAAGCTGTAATAATAAATATTTATACAAATATATGTATGTAGACATATGAATATACATAGATTACACTATGAAATCACATTTAAGTGAAAAAGGTGAGAATAACACATAATTGTAATATAAATTAAAGAAAAATATTTTCCACAATAAAAAAGCAAAGTAATTGCAATAAACGTTTAACTGTAATTAAATAGGAAAATTATAAACGAATTTAGTGATGCTCATTATTTGCTAGCATGCATAATCGTTTAGTATGTGGTGCGAAGCATGCAGCTCAATGGAGATGAAAAACAATGACTCCGTGTATATGTATATGTATGTGCATTTATAAATAAATTCAGAAAAATATTATACTCTTTATTTCATGATCATTATTATTTTTTCTTAATTAGCAAGTAGCTAACTTCATCAAAGAACAATTTCATCATTTATTATGTGTAAATCTTTAGGCATAACGACGGATATAGAAATATCTTATTGATCATTGACAACGACTAATCAACCGACATAGCCTACAATTTTAGAACCACTTGAAAAATGCTGAATACCCAAGGAAGCTCAGCACAACGCCAGACCATACATGTCGATAGCAACCCGCCAAAGCTCCGAGAGTTTGGTTGGGAGATCCTTATGCATTCATAGTACGGACCTCGCACCAAGGAACGACCAATTGTTCCTATATATGGCGAATGATTTGGTTGGTTGAGAATTGACCTCAAGCGCGTCATGTGATGATCGATTGTCCCAATTTTTTTGCGAATAAAGACAGTTATTTCTATGAGGGAGGCATAATGCCGATTGACTTCAAGTTTTTGTCGGATTGTTCCTATGGTGAAAGATTTATAAGAAAAAATTTCTTATGAAAATAAGTCAAAGTCTGACCTAAGCGGAAAAAATTGTGTTTAAGAAAAATTGTATTTGTAGTAATTTCTACTTGAAATTTTGGATGATAGGCATAAATGAAATACTTTTGCTGTGGATCAGAGACTTCGAACCAAGTTCGATTTGCTCGACATATAAAATATATATATATAATTTATTTACGAAAAAGTATCCCTGATAGGTTGGCAAAAATTTTTATAATTTGGATATAAATATAGCTCGTGCGTGTGCGGGTTACAAGCAATTCTTATATGTTCAACTTGGCTGTGAATAAGCATAAATCAGAATGGTGCGTCTGGCATTCATATTGAAATTTTCGTGAAAAACTCACACATACAAATGAGTATTTGAGGTGCTACAATATTTTGATATTCAAAGAAAATTTGCATTTTTTGAGATTCATGATGGCATGTTTATAATGTTTAATAATGGAAAACAATATCAGCCAAATGACCGCCACGGCTTTGCTTACAGAACCCTATCCTTTTTATGAAATTTTCCAACAAGCTTTCAAAAACTTCACGAATTCCATCTTTGTGTTGACGTTGGCTGGTCGGTTGCGATCACCTCTTCGAGAGATAACACGGTTTGCAAATTTTTCCCTTAAAAAATCGATGCTTCCGCTGCTAGCGTTACATGCCTGCCACGCTCTCTTGTTGAAAGTAAACGGTCTCAGATCAATACCACACAATACCGACCATAAAAAATCATTAATCAAAGAGTTACATGTTGAGAATGAGTAGGCTTTTCAGCAATAAACCATGGATTTTCCCAGCCCCAGATGCGACAACTTTACTAATTGACGTAGTCATCGAAGTGGCAATGGGCCTAATTAGTCAACATGTTTTCTCGATGAAATTCTGTATAATTTTCATGCATTTTAAGGACCCAATAAACAGAGACTCGACGTTGTTGATGATTGGCCAGCTTGAGTTCTTGTGTTAACTGAACTTCATAAGCCTTGAAACCCAATCTTTAGGCAAATTTCAATGTAATGACTTTTGTGGAATACGAAGAAATGGGTAAAGCTGGGTTTTCCTCAGGTTTGGGCTACAGCAGCAATATTCTCAGCGTTTAATCTTCACAACTCTAACTTGCCTCAACAGCTAAATTTTTTCCACCAATTTCAAGGTGCCTCACCACGACTGAAAAATGTTTTATTTTTAGGAACCGTCTTTGCCATTTTTATAGTGAATTTTAATAATTTCCATGCATTGTTGAAGCTCACATCTTTCAATTTTTATTGCTAGCGTAGTTTTTACTTGTCAAACGTTAAAAAGTTACAACTTCAAAAGTGACATCTACCGGGATAGCGGGTTATTTACAATAACACCGCTCATTGGAAAAGCCTCAAAATTAACCTAATATTTTGACTTCGATGAGGCTTATTTAGGAAAGATTTTTTCACTTAATATTTTACACTTAGCAAAAACCTACTTATGTTTTTTCCCCTCTTACAACTAAGTGAAGCACATTTTCCAACACTTTTTGGTGAAATTCATTAAAAATAATACCAATAAGAAAGAAGCACATTATGATTGTCATTGTTTATTAAGTGCGTATGCATTTGTACTCGAACGTATTTATGTCACCATAAGTGCAGAAAAAAAAACTTTTTTGATATACTCAGGTGTCAAATAAATATTTTCCCACACTCCCAAAAATACCAAAGAAATATATGAAGGCGATATGAAGATATTGTAAATAAACATATATATTTTTGAAATGTAATGCAGCTTAGAGCATTTGACTCAACAATTTAAGCTTAAAAGTAAATAAAAAAATACAAAGAAATAAAATAATCACAAAAATATACAAAACAAAATAAATGTAAGGTCGATAAATGTCTAGCGTAGAAACCCTAAGTATAGAGAAAATAAAATACATATTTATGTTAACTGCCAGAGTTAGTAATGTTCAAAAAATAATTTTTTTTTTCGCCTTCAAATTGATTTATCTACGCTGTTTTGCTGTTTTTGTGTTTAATGCGCTTTTTATTTTATTTTTTTTTTATTTTTTATTTTTTTCTTTATTAATTTTTTTAATATTTCTTATTTTTGCTTTGCTTTAATTTTTTGTATGCTGTATTTTTTGAGCATGTTTATTTAACTTTATTTTTCGTGTTTTTTCACACACTATCTCCTATCTACACTGTCACTTTGAATTTTCAATTCGATTGAGTGGCAATGAGTTGGTACAATTCAGTCGCGTAAGGTGTCCCCAAAGTCAGTGGCGGCGTTGTTGTTGTTGTTGTTGTTGTTTTTCTTGTTGTTGAGTCTATAGTAGCAGCAGCAAAACTTTGTCCCCATGGAACGCTTGACTGCGACGGCGCAAAGGAAATACATCAATATATGCAGACACATGAACACATACACACGCATATAGGCAAGTGGCGTGGTGACCTGAGGTGTCTGTCATACCAAGCCAACAGTCAAAGCACTGCCTTGTTATTGTTGTTACTTTGATGGAAAAAAGCAGTAAGATGAAAATGACTGATGCTGTTGTAAAAATATTTATTTTTCAAGCTAAGAATTTTAAGTTGACTCTTGTTGTGTCGCACGAATGTGCCTGATATCGATTGGTGTTGTTGGTGAAATTGTTGTTATTGTACTTATTATTGTTATTGTTGTTGTTTTGAAAATAAAATATAAACGTGCCAGTCGCACTAAATAAGCGACCAACTAAGAATAACATAGCAATATATGCTTGAAAGTACATACTTACATACTTACATACAGCCACACATTCAGGTTATGTATGTATATAAATAAATATTATTGCTTTAATATTTCTATATATTTTTTTTGTATTTTTTAATCTGTATATAATACATAACACAGGCAGCGCTGCAGATGTCGCCAATAAAATGTGTGCCTCTGTATTTGTATCTCTATCTGTGTGTGCGCTCACCTTCAATTGTATCCACCAGCGCTGAATTTAGCATCCAAAACGCAGACTCATTTCGTAGAGTGTCAAGTGTGACGAGGCAAAGGTATAATAAAGATGATGAAAATAAACACACTGCTGCAGGCGCAATTCAATAAGCGGAGGCAAACATAGAAAACATACAAACAAATATAGATACATATGAGTTTCTTTTGTAAGCCAAAATGTCAATAGTGTAACACACTCGCTCACACACACACACACACACACACGCACGCAGACACACACCACTTCCGGTGACAAGTGTGTCGCCTCCTTTGCGACCTGATTTGAATGCTGCCACATGATTTGTCGCTTTTCAAATGAGATACACACATACAAATACATGTATGCATATTGCTGCGAAAATATTTGTCGCATATATGTATGTAGTACCTAAGAGCACTTAACGTTACTGCGACTGCTTAAAGTCTAAGCTAAACACTCAAAATTTTAAACCAAACACACGTTTAATGGCGTGCATTGAATTTAATCCTCGAATTTGTGGCTTAATGTACATACATACGTAGGTCGTACATATGTATGTAGGTTGCACTTTAACTGTAACTATTTTGAGATGTAATTTTTTCTCCTCCTCCTTCTCTATAACTCTAATAAGTTTTTCTTTAATTTGACACATTTTTCTTATGTTTAAATTTATAGTAAAATTGATTTCCTCCCTTCATTTGCCTTTCAGACACTTTGGCGCAAAATGTTCAAAATGCTGCCGCGGCATATCGGCGACAGATTGGGTGCGTCGCGCACGTGATCTCGTCTTTCATTTGGCGTGTTTCGCGTGCGATCAATGCGGACGACAACTCTCCACCGGCGAACAATTTGCTCTGATCGATGATCGGGTGCTGTGTAAGGCGCATTACCTGGAAACGGTCGAGGGTGGTACGACATCGAGTGACGGTAAGTGGATATTTTATGATTTTTTAGTAAAACACGTAGGCAGAAGACTTGTTTTTAGTTTAAAACTGGCTAGATTCAGCAATCTAAGCTTCATAAAAAGCTTGCTAAAGTATTTCTTTAAGACTTTTGTCCAGCGATTTCACTTTTGTCTGAAAACGGGCCACAGTTTCATCGGTCTGCATTCGAACACAATTTCACAGTTTTTTATTTTAAAAACCTCAAAGTTTTTAAGAGGTTTTTCTGATAAAACGGGGCACTCACTCTTTTCAACAGTTCTTTCTCCCAGTCAAAATCTTATGCAATATGAGACCTTTAGGTCCTTTGAATATATTTACAATGTCAGCCAACTCAGGCAGATTCAATTTTAAGATTTGGAAAGCATGAAAAGCCTGTTCAAAACTAGGACATAAATGCTTTTTAAGCCATTGTTTTGAAAATAAGAAAACTAGTGTCACTCTTACAAGCTTATTATCAGTCAAATATAATACAAGTTTAAAAGCTTCCTTTAAAGTTGAGTACTAACAGAAAAAGCTGCAAATGCGTGAAAACTAGCGCCGTCTATATGTTAGGCCTCGGAACTCTTCAGCTCTTGGTAACTAACTGGAATTGAAAACAACTTCAGTAGAGGGTAGTAGTCATAGGGCTTATTACAAACTACTTTCAGCTTCAACTTCAATACTATGGATTCTCAGATTCGTTTCTGAAAAAGCTTTCTTGCTTCCAGTTTGGCAGTATACCAAAAGTGAAACTCTATTTCTCGTGAAGTTTATATAACTTCTGGTGTCTCTTCATCGAACTTATTCCTTCTCATATACAGCTTCCAAGTGTGGTGTTTTTCATCGAGACCTTTATGGATACAAGGGTCCGATTCTTACCACCAGAATTAGATCAATGCTTCCGGCTTTGAGAGAGAGATGGTTTTTACCTGTTTTCTATGACCTAGATGAGGGTTAAAGATCCTCTACTAGAACTAATGCAGTTCAATGATTTTAGTTTGTGAAAAAGAATCTCCGTCAGACGGGCTCTCTCGCGGAAACTATAAACTTTCGAAAAGAAGCGATTTTAGGTAACAGTTTAATTGGCCCAGGTGCTAGCTTACATGGGTTTTAGTTAAAGGTTAAAGTATAAATATTAAACTACTACTTCTAGTAGTCTCGGTTTCCGTGAGAGTGATCTTGTAAATTGTTATCATGAGCCGATGTGATGTAACCGGAATATCAAAATGATCAGAACTTGTTTCACAGCTTCAAAAAATAATTTTGTTTTATTCGTAATTTCTATAACATTCTCGAGATATTTCCCTAGATTTTCAAAACAATTCGACCAAAAGTTTCGGAGATGCAGAATTAAGCGGGTGTGCGCTCAAAATCCAAAGCCGGCTGCCACATGCCCTCGGACATTAATTAACGGCTCTTAGAAATACATAATTTTTTTCACCTTAGACGTTCCTGTCATGAGTTCTGCTGTCAACAGCTGTTTTTCCGAAGAGTCATCAGAAATGACGTCACAAAGTTGAAATTGTGAATATTTTTCTTTGGTTTCATTATTTTCAAGACATTATATATTTTGAGTAAGATATTTTATTTTTCATAGGAACAAAAAATTTACAACGTTTTTCTTTCCGAATATGCACATGTAACCTCTTAAGCTTCTACCCTCGCTCCAAACATGTGCTGGACTCAGCTTAAGCAGAACATATTCTCTCGACTGGGTTCTGAGAAGAGTTCAAGGTTTTGTTTAAATTTGTTCAAATTACCCAGTATATTTGTATGAAAATTAACAACTACAAACGCAAGCTTTTTTGATCGTTTTGAACTAAAATATTCTGGCAAAACAAATTATATTTTTGCTTGTTACGGGAATCGTTCAAAAGCTTTAAAATTTCCAACAAATTAGTAAGCTGTTCAGTAAAGAAAAAAGTTTCAAATGAGTCTGAGGTACTAGCAACGGATAACCAAAGGCCAAACAAAAAGAGTGGAGGGTACTGGAAATAAAAGAAAGGCACAAATAACAAGATAGTGGAGCATTTGAAATGAAATTTCAAAAAAACTTCCTTCTGGTACTTCAGATCTTGTCATACAGAGAAATTTAATAGAGGTGACTGTAACATCACACTCGAAAACAAATATGAAGTCATAAACACCGTCCCTGAAAAGAGAGCATAAATCAAGAATGTGAGCAGCTCGAGAGAACTTCCTCCATCAACCACTTCTTGAATTCCCCCTTAACTCTTCCATTGCAAGTGAATTTAAATTACTTTAAAACCCCCAACAACTTAGTTCAGTCGTTTAAGCATTCAGAAATGCATGAAACGCAACGTTTAAGCCCAAAATAATCGCATACAAGGCACAAAGCGGTGACACAGAAGCTAAAGTGACATAAAACCAGTACTTTTTGTAAGCTTTTGTGGGCCTCCAAATGCAGGCCTATGACAAACAAATATGGTAATACGCGCATAGACAGTGCAGACAGAGAGGCAGAGAGAGGGGGACAGTGGAAGCACATTAAGCTAGCTGGACTATTAAGTAATATGTACTTATATATGTTGTATGTATGTATGTATTTATGTATGTATGTATGTATGTATGTAGTTTTGATAGTTCAGAATGCATTAGCATGCACTCACATGAGGGTACTGCGCCGCAAGTGCAATACACACATATATAATATATGTATATGTAGATACGAGTATGTATGTATATCCATCCATAAGTGGCCTCTTCACCAACAATGTTATTCTTTTGACTACTTGCACCGGCTTTGCTGCTTTGGTTGCTTTTGTTTTTGCTTGACTAAAAACCATGCAAACGCATCCGATTTAGAGCTTAAATGTTGAATGGTGAGCCAAGTAAGTGCCAACGTATAAGTGCATCCGTGTAAGGCGTCAAAAATAGTAGCAGCAACAACAATTGCAACATAAAGCAAAGTTTACTACTTATTTAAGTGGCATAAAGCACTGGTTGACAGACTGACTGACTGACACGAACGGACACAACGAACGAATGAAACCCTGCTGTGCTTATGACAACACAGCAAAAGTCATGCGTTTAGAATGGACGAATGGAGCACACGGGCTATATGTTGCCTCAGTGCAGTGTATGGTATATATGTAGCTAAATGAGTGTGCGATTGCAAACGCATAAATGCTTGTGTGTTTTCTAGTAAAAGTACACATTTGCAACCGTTAGTTTGTTTGTGACGTCACATTTAGCAAGCGTTGTTTTGACATGGTTCCTATTAGTCAAACGACAACGTGCCTACCCGACACGAACACGTACATATATATGTAGCAGTAATACTAGCATAAGTACAAGCCCAAAAAGTGTATTTGTTTGTATTGACGTATGCAACTGACAGACACGGTATCCCTTGCTTCTATGCAGTCAGCACTGTCACCTCGCTTCCTCGCTTCTTGTCATCGCCTCTGTACGTGCCTAAAATGTTTGAATGTTTCACAAGCCGCAACCAACAACTGCGCCACCCACCTGACCGAACTCAACAACCCAATAACCCAGCAACCCTGCAGCTGTGCCAATTCTTTTTTTTTTCATTTTTTTTTACTGCGTCTACAACCAACTTCTGTCGATTCGTCGTTGGTTGGAACTTTGCTATTCAAAGCATTCACACTCAATTCGTCACGGCTACCGTTTTTGAGCTTTTCGAATTGTTCCAGTGTTGTTTTCGGTCGCTTCTTGTTTGTTTCGCATGTGTGTATGTTTGTGAGTGAAAATGCGTGGACTTCTTTTGTTTGTGTTTGTGTTGAGATCTAAGTATGTTTGTGAAAGTGTATTTTTGTACGAAAACTGTTGTCTGCAGTCATTTCCATTGCAGCATTAAATCGGCTTTTATAATCGTTGCTTAAATTGGCGTCTCCATTGGCAAGTTGTTCGCTGCTTACTGCTTTCTAAGCCTTAAAGTGAGCTGGCAAATGAATTGGCGGCAATGGCGATTATTTTTGCAAAATATTCCAAGGCGGATTACAATTGGCACTTAAAGATCTGATTGTATGCTGCCGATTAATAGAACTCTTCCTCGTATCATTGCTCATGGTCTACTTCGCAGATCCAAAATCCTTTTTTCACTGTACTGCACTGTATTACCGCGATCCTAGCCCGATCATGTCACATGGGACAGCATTTTTATTCTGAAGATGTGCTCGAAAAGTAGTTACTAAATAAAGTAATTTCAAGTCCCTCTTCTCCTCTATCGTTACATATATATTGTGAAAGACTGCGCTTATTTAACGCTCTCTAGTTGATTAGAAATATATCTGATCCACATGAAAAAATACTTTTGGGAACTAATTTTAATATTAGTAAACAGCAGGACTTTCACTGTGAATGAAATGTCCTTTCTTTTTATAATTCCCTTCCCTCGCTGTTCGCCTTAGATGCTTTACATTTTAATAGATTTAAGCAAAGTTCAAGAAAGGACATTCCGTTTGGTAGAATATTAAGCTGTAAAGCTTATCCATGTTGACATTTAATCTGCTCTCGTTTTCGCTGATTGGTGTAGGGAATTCTCCGAAGACCTTAAACATTTTTTAACAGTGTCTGAGGACAGCCTATAATGTAAAACCATACCATAAGGTCTCTTTAACAGTGACGAGTTAACTCCATTTCGACCAAAAATTAACTTTACAATATGTGTTAGTTAACCCCTATTTAAGTAAATTATAAATCAAGGTCTAAAGGATATATACACGAAAAAGGCGAGCGTTGTACCGCAGCCAACCCGACGGCAGGCTTAAACGGCGGAGTTCGGATACTTGCAAAAGCCAACCGGAAGCGTGATGATGAAACTTCATCCTGGCAATACCGGAAACTAGCTTTGCTCGACCGCAGCAGGCATTGTGGACAGAAGATTACGGAAAGAGGCAAATCAACAGAGCTGTAAGGCCTCATAACCAAATCAATAAGAAAGAGAAGACCCACTGTACCCCAGCTATCATCGCAAGCTAGCATGGTGGATGGACAGTGTACATCTGCGCAAGGTGTAACTGGCACATCTACGCTAAAATTTACTCAAGGTTAACTCGTCACTCTGGAATTACAAATATCATGGGCCTTTGAAAGAGAAAAGAGAATTATTTTGAAGAAAATTTCTCTTTATTGAAAATAAATTTTAATTACACACACATCGATTGTTATTATCTATGTCTTACATATATTTATACTAAATCTAAAATATGTTTATGTAGGAACATACATGATTATTCTTTTGGCGCCACCATCGTCATTTCCATTACTTGTATTTAGGCAGAAAAACTGTAAATTCCGATGCTCCTAAAATTTCAGCAAACTTTGCTATGATAAGAATTATAAATGAAAAAATACTATTATTATTAAATAAGTAAAAATATTATACGCAATCATATAATAGCACTAATAACAATATATTTTTTATTGCTTATTTCTTTTACCGTTGATTCGCACTCGGTCACCGCAATTTCGGGCATTCTACAACTGCTGATTCTTATGCTGTGGCGACTGTGCTGATAACTCTATCGATTATCTTGATTATAAATGCAATGCACTGGCGCTTCAACAATATACATATACAATCATAACACCGCCGCTGTCGGTTCATGCTGAATTCTGCCTTTCGCATGCGCAACTCGCAATTCAGACGGCTGTGATGGTGATGGTTATCATAAAAGTAAAACGAAACGTGTACGTACCACCTTCACCGAGGAACAATTACAGGTGCTGCAGGCCAACTTTCAGATCGACAGTAATCCGGATGGACAGGATTTGGAGCGTATCGCATCGGTGACTGGCCTGAGTAAGCGTGTAACGCAAGTTTGGTTTCAGAATTCGCGAGCGCGACAGAAAAAACATATTCATGCTGGTAAGAATAAAAGTAAGTAGTTGTTGTTGTAGTTGTAGATATGTAGATAGTAAATAGTTTGTATGTATGAATGCTTGTAGTAAAAATTGCGCATGCACCGCTTATGCAAAGCACTTAGCACATAGAATCGCTTAAAAGACGGCTTAATAGTTAGATTTACATATGTACGTATATATGCATGTATTTATTTATCAACGCATATGAGTGTGTGTGTCAACTGCATTTCTAGTAGCAACGATATTAAAAGCAGCTTAGAGACTTAGGCAAAATCAATGACTCCAAACGGAATATCCCGGTAGCAAATCAGGAACCATGATGGCACAGGAACAATGGGTTTAAGCTACAATAATTTGTGGAAATTTTTGGAAAATTCAAAACGATTAAAAAATTATTAATATAAAACTATTAATAATTAATTTGTTAAAAAATACAAAAAAAAATTAAATAAATATATTATAATACTAAAAAGTGAAAATTTTGTAAACATTGAAATAAAGAAATATTAAAATTTAAAAATTAGAGATAAAATAAAATTTTATTGAAAATATTAAAATTTACAAATTTTTATGAGAAAAATTAAAATCTTAAAAATTTTAAAAACATTTCAATGGAAACTTTTAAAAATTTAAAACGATTAAAAGCTCAAAATTAGTAAAATAAAAAATATCGAGAATATTTTAAGAGAGAAAAAGATGAAAAGAAAAGTAAAAAAATTAAAAAAATTGAAATGTCAAAATTCTAAAAATGACAATAAAAATTTTTAAAAATTAATAACTTTTAAATAAAATAAAAAAAAAATTAATAACTTTTAAATAAAATGAATAAAATATTAACAACTCTAAACATATCTAAGGAAAATTAATGAAATGATTAAAATATTATTAATAAAATATAAATATCTCTTAAGAATTATTAAGAAAAAAGTTATTAGAAACCAAGAAACTCAAAGAGTATAAAAATATTCAAGAAAAATAGGAACTAAAAAATATACTTGATAAAATTTTTATAACTTTAAATATATCTACTAAAATTAAAAAAAAATAATAGTTCTAAAAGCTTAAAAATAGTACATTAAAAAAATGTATAACTTAAGAATGATTAAAAAAAAATAAATAAATTATTAATTACTCTTAATATTAAAAAAAATTCAAAAATTATTAACAAACTAAAATCTCCCCAATTATAAAAATATTACAATTAAAAGTTATTAAAATAAATAACGATTAAAAAATATAATAAATAAAATATTACCATATTGAATTTAAAAATTATTAAAAAATGAAGAAAGATGAAAAACATAAATTAGTAAAATATTAATTACAAATTTTAATGAAATTTATTATTAATTAAAAATATAATTATACCAGGAAAAACAAAAAAAATGTAATTTAAGTAAAATCATGAAAATTACGTGTTTCAAAAAATATTACAATAAATTCCTTAAATTATTTAAAGTTAGTATATTAATTAAAATTATTAACAATTTAAGCACTAATGAAATATTACAAAAAAGCAAAAAAAAAAAATATAAAAAAAAATTAAAACGTATGGTGTGACAACTCCTATTTAAGAAAAAGTGTCATTTAATATCTTGCATACTACCAGCTTGCTACAACTTTGTCAGGTTGAAATGGAAATTTGGCACAGTCACTTAAACTATTCCAGCAGGGCGGATGGCTAACATAATAATCTTCACTCCTTTGGTGTTATTTCTTTCTTCCTTTATTATTATGTTTTATTTTGTTTTATTTAGGTTTTCATGTACTTTACTATAATTTTCTTATTTTGAGTACTAGAAATAGCGGATCAACTATCCGCTTGGCTTGGTGTATGGCGCCACATTTATTTGTAATCGGATAAATTGGAAAATATGAAAAATCTCGCTAATTGTGCTTTTGGCGGTTTACTTATTTTAATTATTGCAATATAAACGTGAAGTTAGTTTCTTGTAATGACCGAGGCCTTCCTTACAGTGCCGAATTTTCAATGATGCCATCTTGTTAAGGCGCCACAGGAAATTAACGCACTAAAGTACCGGGTGTTGCACGATATTTTCAGCCTATTTATGCAGGTTAAGGAAATGTGAGCAAAGGAAATGAATATGTAGAAAAATAAAAAAAAAATATTAATAAATCAATAAGTTCAGACTCATAAAACCTTTTTTTGGAGAAAACCTCGGAAACTGAAAATCTTTCTTAGAATTGTAAATTTTTTCATTTGTCCTTTTTGTGAAATTTTTGGCTGCTTGCTTTGGTAATTTCTTAATTTTTTTGTTACATACGAAAAATCAATAGTAGATTAATTTAAATAATTTTTGCATAATATGCGTGTATATGTAAATTATAAATATATTTCTATTTCAGATTAACTTGTACATAAACAAGTACATACTAATTATTTACATATTTAATAAAAACAAATATTTACTTTATTTACAGTGCGTGAACCCGAAGGAAGCTCATTTGCCCGCCATATTAACCTGCAGTTAACATATTCTTTTCAGAATAACGCCCAGAATCCTATGCACCTGAATGGCAACTCCAAAGGTTTATATCCTTCACATGGTAAGTTAATGAGAAATCTATTATTATCTTAATAATATTATCTAAATAAACTTGACTTTGGAAAAAATTTTTATTAAGACCAAAATAACTAAACTCAAATAAAAATGTTATTCTTTTAAAACTTTTGCAGAATATTTGAAAAATTTAATTGAAATTAAAGAGCCCAAAAGCGAAAAAATATCAAAAAAAAAAGGAAATAATAAAAGAATATAAAATCATTCATTTTACCGAAAATCAATAAACTTTAACAAAACGTTGATTAAATCATATTTGAAATGAAGCAAAACGTCATTAAAATAATATTATTTATACAGAATTATTTTAAATGAAAATAAGTTACCTAATATTTAACAAAAAAATTAAAATAAAATTTTTTGTAAATGACTTTTACAAATTTAAATTAGTTGATTAATTGAATTGAAATTCTGAAATAATAAAAGTGCTATTGTCAAAAATAAAAGTTTTTCATATTTTTTCATTGAAAAAATTTATTAGTAACGTGTTTTAAATTGTATTTAAAACAAGAAAAATTGCTTCGTTAAAAATACTGAATTATTAATAATTTAAAATTCATAAAGGTGATATTTCATAAAAAAAATAAAAAATATATTTTGAAAAATTCTTAATCCACAAAATTTTAATTGGAAATTAAATGGAAAACAGCATTAGTAAAAAATGTCATATACTCGTATAACCCTATAAAAGTGGGATTAATAATAAATAATAATAATATAAATAAAAATATTAGCAAACCTAAAAAAAGGAAATTAAATATTGAATCCAGTTAAAGAGAAAATTATAAAGAAAAAAATCAATAAAAGTGCTAACTCACAAAAATTTAGCATTTTGGCAAAAGATTTGTTCAATCATATTAAAAAAATATAAAAAGCTTTATAATAAAATAATTGTATTCAAACCACTTTTATTAAAATCTAAAATAAAAAGTCCAAAAAAACTAAAATTTTTATCAAAATATGAGAAAAACTTTCACAGTTTTAACTTTTATTTTAAAACTATTAAAATTAGCTAAAAAATGCAACTTTTGAGATTCTCTTTGAAATTCGGAGCCGTATCGTAATATCCAAATCGTAAATATTCTAAACCATTAAAGAGTCCCTGCAAACACGCTTGCCTAGCCAAGCTATTATTTTATTCAGATTCATGTCTTGTTCTTATGATTATAATTAAATATTTTTTGTATTTATTTTTAAAACAAACAGTAATTATTTAGATTCATTATTACCTAGATTAATTACATTTCACAAAAAAAAATATACACATACGTATATATCCAATTATTTATAATTTATATTTTCTCTCATTTTAGAATCCTCCATGGATGAACTCTCACAGGACTCAAGTGTGCATTGTATGCAGAGTGAAGTGTGACTGGAACATTTGAACCACCATTAAAGCGGACGTAGGTCTATACATTTTTGGTGGCATCGGAGAACAATATACACGCCCAACCACACACACACACACACATACACGAATCATGGAGGAGTTTATGTATGATAATACATAAGAAACGATTTAAAACTCAAACCCAGTAAAACAAAAATCAATTTAACAAATATTTAAAGAAAAAATCAAAAATCGTCCTAACCTAGTCAAAATTATAAAACAAAAAACATATATATATAAACGTATTTAGTACATTTTACATTATGTATGGAAATTGAGAAAACGTCCAAAAATGTTAGAGATTTTAATGGAAAATGTGGCAGAATTAAATTAATTAAAGCCAAGCAAACACTATTTCTGCAGCAGATGCCAGTATTAAAAGTGAAACATAATTACATAAATCATATTTTTTAAATTTATTATTATTAATTTTTTTTTAAATAAGTAGATTTTTTTTTATTTCATTTTAATTTAGTTTTATTTATATTAATTAAATTTATTTTATTTCATTAATTTTTTTTTTAATTCTATTTCTTTTTATTTTCTTATTTTATTTTATTTTATATTTTATTTTATTAATTTTAATTTATTTTGATTCAATTCGTTTTATGTTATTTTATTTATTTTAGAGTATTTTATTTAATTAACTTCATTTTTTTATTTTTGTTTAATTTCATATCTTTTTGTTTTCTTTTGTTATTTATTTTTTCTAATTTATTTTATTTTATTTCATTTTATTTTTTTTTTTATCTTACTTTCTTTTATTTAATATTGCTTTATTATCAAGCAGTAAGGGTAATTCTACAAGAGCAACACAAATCAATTCTAACTTTAGGCTTAGAAGAAATTTAAAAAATTTATTAAAAAGAATTAAGTAAGTCATATTCACACAACAACCAGTTCAATTGAATATTGTTGCTGCCTATTGGCGGATGCCTCGCACTCTAAGTGTGTAATTCTACCAAGGCAGCGGCGTTTCTTTTGTAAAAGAAAAAAATTAGGATTAGCTAAACTTTACCATTCCCTAATAAATAATTTAAATCAATTTTATTTATTTAAGTTTAGCAAAACAACTAACATAAAAATATAAACACAGTAAATATATTTAATAAAATTTTGTAAATAAAACCTCAACAGCACCTGAACATTTTAAAAAAGCTTAAAGAAAAATTGAAAAAAAAAACTTGTACACGCATACATTCCTAATTTGCTTAAATATAGATTTGTAAGTATGTATTTAACGTTAAAAAATTTTAATATATGTTTTATTTATGTTTAGAAATTTTCCTCAATAAAATGCGTCTGTGTATGTACCTTAACCATAACTTTGCTCCATTTTTTAACTCATCCAAACTACACTTGTACATATGTATGTTTGTGTACGTATTTAAATATCTTAACGCCTTTCTAATAATAATATTTGTATAATTAATAAGCTATTGTAAAATATTTAATGTGCACATAAACATCTACTCGTACATTGTATAGTATATTTAAATGTGTTAAGAGTTGTTATTGTTTATTTCTTGTTTTTTAAATTTGTAAACAAATCAAATAGTGTATTTCAGTTAAACTAAATAATTTAAATATATGTATAAATGAAAAGTATAGCATTAACTGTATATATATATAGAGCTTACTTGCCAACAATAAATAATTAAAATAATTATAAACAAATTGTAATGACTCTAAAAATCTAGTTAACACAAATTAAAACAAAAAATAAAACTAAATACCGAAAAAAATATTAAAACAATTTTTAAATGAAATATTAAAAAAAAACTCGTTGTTTTCATTTGTTTTGTAAAAATATGAAGTGAAGATTTTATTTTCAAAAGAGCGAATAATCCAAAATGAGTAAGTACTAACGTTCATTTCTTATTCTCGGTTAAAACTTGCCTAACCAAGGTTATTCCTTTCAAGCTTATTTTTCTGGTTGCTATCGCCGCATATTCCTGGATTTATTATCTCACACGTTCTAAGGAAAATGTCATAATTGTCCGTGAATTACGGTAAACAAAGCTACTTCGAAAGCAAGTGAATTCCGTGAAGAGAATAGTTAACAGAGTATTGAATAATGCTGATTCTCTACTAGTACTGTAATTCCGAGTTCCTCAAAAAAATAAAAATACAGCAAAAAACGCTCGGCTCCCTTTATCTAAACCGAGCAGACCATCTCTCTCTGGTCATATGGACATCGAGAGAAATTGTTAGGCGACCGAGCATGCCAGGAAGGATAATACCAAACAAATTCTTTTCGATAAATAACACAATTGGTATACCTTAAGTCTCCTGTAATCCAATGAGGAAGCTGCGCTGGGGTGGTATAAAATAGTGACTTTCTGTAAAGTTAAACAAACCTGAACAAATAGAACAAAAAGGGTTTAAGAGTGAAAGAAATGTGAATCTTAGTAAGAAAGTTTGTAACGAAAGTAAAAGAAATTCTGACAGGTCACTGCGAAGCAAAAAAGGTTAGAAGCTTCTGGTTCTTGTAGAAAATGCTGCAAAGTGGCAAATATGATGAATTGGGGGAAGCGATGACTCATCTTTTATTCGTATTTTGGCAGTGCTTCTGCGATTATAGCCTAGTCAATTTCAATTGTAGACTCAAGTTCTTTTACACTTTATCTTTCTAACAGAGTCGTGCTCTTCCTTTTTAAATGCCTTGGAATATCTAGCATTGGTGTTCCACCGTAGAAATGGTATTCGCCGTTGCCAATGCAAAAATTTCTTTAAATTTATATACGAGTATAATGGTAACCGCACTATATACCAATGTAGAGTTTGGGGTGTGTTATTCGAGAGTGAACCTTACCATTCATGAGTTGTTCTGGTTGGCTTTCGAAGCTGACATTCCCGTTGGTGATGATGCCATCTTTCTGAATAAACTAAATTATATATAACTTCAAAATGAAAACTGTCATCACTGTCTTGGGAACCAGGAGATATTTCGTCTAGTGCTCATTCGCTACTAAAATCAAACCGGGGGTGCGGAGAGATATCATGGCATGCGTGATCTGCTTCGATAATTGGGAAAAACATTTACATAAGTCCATTGCATTGGCAGGGAACTATTTTGACTGCGACGAGACCAATGTAGAAGGACAAATAAAGAATTTTAATTCTGCAAACAAATTCAGCTTACTTTTTGCCCACAGTAGCACGTAGGCCGGCAGTTTCACACTCATCAAAGATAGTCGGTCTTAAATTACCCCACTTTTTAATCATAAAAGAGAATTTATTATGTAACAATATGTTATGGTGAGGAATATGTGCCATCACAATGGAACTTATTCAATTAATCGATACATTTAATCTGGTGGTGGCTACCTAACCTAATTTATCCACTTAGCGATTCTTCAGCAAAAGATTCCTTTCTAAGTAAAATATATTGTAGTTTTAAAAACAGCAAAAGCTTAACCAACCTCGAGATCATAAAACTTCTGTAAATTCTATTTTTTCGCAGATCGGCTTTGAAGCACGAATGGTCTAAGGAAGATTTAAAGAGTTATCGGGAATGGCTTTTTATCGACAAAGAAGACATTTCAGAGATAATCTTTTTACTTGAATCTTTAAATTTTCGGGAATGTTCCACACAAAAACCTTTCTCGCAATGATATTTTCATTATTCTTTTCCTTCCTTATAACAACACTGAACAATTGCCTTGTGACATTCGTAAACGAATTGGCCTAAATAGACAGCATTTGAGCTGCAATGGGATTTCAAATAAAATTCAGTGCATTTCCGGTCAAAAGTGGTAACGAAATTTATACATATTTACGACAAGCTGATAGTATTTATTTATGTACCTTGTGTATATACATACATACATACATACATGTACAAGAATATCAGTTGTTATAGTAAACATTTTTATTGAGTCATCATATCACTTTACACCATTTACAACAAGAAGAAGATAAAAAGACAACAACAACTACTGCGCTGCAGTCTTTGGAAAACTGCACAGACTTGCTGTCTTCCTTCTCAACTCAACACAACTCAACTTAACTGCACCTAAAAGTGGCAATATTAAATAAAAGTATCTCTTAAATTGCAAGTCATGCAGATGAATTCTAATGCACTCAACAACACCGACTGAGGTCTTCAACAGTCAGCGCTGCAGTGAGAAGGTAATAACAGCAACAACAACAACAACAACGGCAGCAATGTGAGTAATAGCAGCGACGGCGGCGGTTGGTATTTATTTTATTTTAATTGAATTATAAGCCTAGATTATGCGAAGATTTCCTGCTGACTGCCCAACTGGTTGTTCGGCCATAAGCAGGCCAACGCAAGCAAAGTGCATTCGTGTGCTTTGTATGCACATATATATTGACATATATATATATGCTTTAATGTTATGTGCTACATGTGCAAGTGGCAGAAGAAGGCGTAGAAGCGATGCGGCAAGGCAATGGCAGGTAAAGAAAAGGTAACCTTAACGCTTGATGATCGTATCCGTTGCGCCAAGTGATTTTCAACAACGGCAACTTTACGCCGATTGCAGTTGGTAGGTAGAAAAAGCAAAAAACGAAAGAGTGTAAAAGAACAGACAGACAAACAGACAGACAGGCAGACAGACAGACAGACAGAGAGACATGCTGAATATTTGTGAATCAATTTGTGAATAAACAACACAATCGCACAATCATCAACTTCAATATTATTGATCAATGATCATTGCAAGCTGCAACAAAAATATATTAACAACAACAACAACAACAAAAACTGAGATAAGTGTGACTGCTGTTGCTGGGTTAGTCAGAAGATTGCGACACTATTGATCCAATAAGTATATACAATATAACATAAACAACAATAATGAATCGCTGCCTTGGCTGGATGTCGTTAATGCCCTTTATGAAAGATTTTACCTGGGCATACTCATATTGACAAAAGGTAACCGGTTAAAGGCTCTCGATGGCATCTTTAGCTATATAGCTGTGAGCTTTATGAGTTTATCGCGATTCTGGTGGGTTTCCGCCGTCAGTATATGCTTAACCAATGTACCCCCTTCTCCAAAGAAATTTTAATTTCGTAGACCTCAACGTTCGAGACCTCCTCTGGCCTTACAATATTATTTTGTCTGCATGTTTTGTATGGTTTTTTCGGTTCTACGTCAAGTTCAGTGTCTTCCTAGAACGGATTTAGCTGGACTGAATGTATTTTAAATATATGTATAAACTAGA